CCAAGTGGAGCATCTACTTGAATTGTGTACGAGTCAGGATTTGTGGTTAGGAACAAGTCTAAAAGCGCTGCAAATTCGCCCCTTTCTGAGATACGGGTAGGTTCATCGACAAGCTGCGTTAGACCACAACTTATGGCAAAAGCTTCAGCTTCTCTGCCTTCGTTATGTTTTGTTGTGGTGTTTCAGCCAGGGTATATTGTGGACGTTGAAATCGCCTAAAAAGACAATTTCCGCCTGTGGATAGTTTGACTGTATACTATCACAGCTTTCGGATAATGTCGCGAAAAAGTTTTGGTACTCGGTGTTAGATGGCGGTCGGTAGAGGCAGCAGATAAACTTGGTCGATGACTTTGAGGTGAATTTTAGCCATATGATATCAAGGTTCGCTGGTTCTAGCTTCTCCTCTCGATGACATGAAAGGTCAGTTGGATTCTAACCTCATTTTTGAGTTTTGTTTTCTTTTTTTTGACAGAATTCTGGTTAAATTTGATTATCGATGATTTTGTATTTGTAATATCCAAGGTTCCAAGAGCCTTTTCTCCGAAGACTGCATGTTTAAAGCAAAAAAAAATATATATATGTTTATTTTCATAGCAAAAACAAGTATTTTTATGGTTGTTGCTGTTATTTAGTTATTTGTTAATGCTTTTATTTTTGTGCGTCGGGTAATTTCTACAGAATTTTGCACAAGAATGCCAAAAATATATTCAAAATAATATCCACGTGATATAACTTATGAAAGAAAAGACGAAATTAACGAAAATATTTATATTTTAATCGCAAAGATAGGTTAACGGATAAATTCCTTGCTTGAAATAGGTACCTCCACCTTCATTTCTGCCTTGAAATACGCATTTTTGCGCTGTTGCCAATAGCTTTCAATTCAATTCTTAGCTAAGATTTGGTCGGTGCAAAGCAACTAGCAACTCAACCTAAATGCCGTTTCACATGAGGCGTACAACACGCCTACGTCCTACGTCGCGCGTAGGACGTAGAGCGTCGACTTTCTTTTCACATGGGGATAGTGAAGCAGTATCAAAATGGACGCGCAACTGTGTACCTCGGGCGTTGTTGCCGTGGCAGCATATTGTCTAATTCAAAGGAAAAAAGCAAGAAAAAGACGATTTTGGGTACATCCTATTGTCAACCAAAGGTTACTGAAAGGTGCATTTGTTACCCTTTATTCGGAGTTAAGGGAGCATCCAAGAAAATTTTTTAATTACTTTCGTATGAGTACTACGACCTTCGACGAATTGTATGTAAAACTAGAATCCAAGTTGATCCATAAAAATGTGGTTAGGCTATCTATTTCGGCGACAGAACGACTATGTGTAGCTCTCAGGTAAGTTAATAAATTATATTACTCAAACTTATTAAATTTTATATTACTTTATTGTAATATTACATTCTTGACTACATTATTAACGCTATGGCAATTCAGTGTATTCAGGATTGTATATAAACTGGTCAGGTAGTTGGCTTGAAGTAGATGAATTTGATGGTGGTGACGATATAATGTCGTATGATGTCCCAGGAGAAATCATTGGTCTTGGAGTGAATGCACTTGATGCAGATGACGTAGATCGTTGGTAATAATTGTTCGAAGGATAGGGCTGTGTAACCATTGCTGCAGGTTGTGCTGAGGAAAAGTTTTTGATTTTAACCATTAAATTCAGTACTTCAATTCGGAATTGTAGCTTCTGATCCTGATTGAAGTTTCGTAGAGTTGGTAATAGTGAGTCCAAAAATGATTTGTCTTCATCATGTATAGGCACTTCAGATTTTTTTAAAAAGGTAACCAGACTTTCCTCTAATGCATTTTTTTTTGAAGCCCTTTTTTTGTCGAAAAGTGGTTGCAGTCTTTCAGCTTGGAACTCCTTTTCGTCGATTTCTTTGTCCGAATGGTCATCAGCATCTTGGTTACTGTTTTGGTCATCTGATTGTTGAGTGGCCTCAGTAAAATTTGCTTCGGTGCTAAAAATTTATGTTTTTCAGGTTCCAAGGGAAATAAAATCGTTTAAAAATTACCTATTTAGCTCCATGGTTTTCTCCAAAAACCTCAAATTCTCATAATATATATATTTGGCACCTTTTTTTGCTGCTGAACCGCTTTTCAAAGTTTTTCCTTTAGCACGGCAACGTGTGAAGGCATCTCTGACGGTTTTCCAACGTTTTTGTAGCTTAGCAACTGAAAAAAAAATTAAATCATGAATATTTTAACGTATTTTTTTTTTAATTCCAGATATTTGGCAACTGGCAACACATTCACAGATTTACATTACACATATCGACTGGGCATTTCAACTATCAGCATTGTTGTGGAAGAAGTTTGTACCGTTATTTGGACTTTGCTCAAGGATGAATGTATGGGTATACCAAGTACCGAAAAGTGGGAAAACATTTCCATGGAATTTGAAGAGCGTGCAAATTTTCCTAATTGTATCGGAGCCGTCGATGGCAAACACATCAGAATTATTAAGCCGACAAAAAGTGGCTCTCTCTTTTTTAATTATAAGCATTTCTTCTCAGTCCTTTTATTAGCCGTTTGTGACGCGAATTATTGCTTCACTTATATCGATGTTGGAGCATATGGAAAGTTTTCTGATTCCACAGTATTCAAAAATGGTCCGTTTTGGCAAAAACTTCAAAACGATTCATTAAATATCCCAAAAGGAAAACCTTTACCTAAAGAAAGTATTGCTCAACCTTATGTCATAGTGGGTGATGAAGCCTTCCCGCTGACAAAAAATTTACTACGGCCGTATGCACGAAAGAATCTAAATTACAAAAAAAAAATATTCAACTATAGGTTAACCCGTGCTAGAAGATATATCGAATGTACCTTCGGGATATTATCAAATAAATGGCGAATTTTTCACAGACCATTGAATGTAAGTTTACGCCTTTCAAAAAAAATTATTAAAGCCTGCTGCATTCTGCACAACTTTGTTCGTGTAAGAGATGGTTTCAAGTTCGAAGATACTTTAACAGTTCATGGATTTCGCGATTCGACACAAAGAATACCACAAAATTCTACTATAAACACAACAAGAGATGCTTTCGCCAATTATTTTATAGGCAGTGGACAAGTGGCTTGGCAAGATAGTAAAATAAATTAGCATTAAATATGATGTACCTATCTAAATAAATTAAATACATGTACATACCTGCTGTTTTCTTTTCTTTGTTATCTAGACCCACAAAATTGGGAATAATCGCAGCAGCAATATCCTCCCAAGATTTTTCCCTAGCGTCTCGGTTTTTATAATTCTCATCGGAAACATCCCAAATATTGTTTTTTTCTTCAACAGCAGAAATTAGTAGTTCCGTGTCTATATCCATTGTGCCTATGCCTACGACTGTACAAATCGACGGAATTACTTGGAATGTCTTAAAAACTTTTGGAATTGACAACAACACGGCTACTCCAAATGCCCCCACTTCCAGCGCGCGACGTCTCATGTGAATGCACACACTTGTCACCATGCCCGTACGCCTGGCGTACCTACGTCGGGCGTGCGGGCCAGGCGTCAGCCCGCGCCGTAAATTTCACGCTCGCGCACACGCCCGTTCGAAACGCCTGCATCTGAAACGTACCTATAGAGTCAATGCCAACCGACTTTCTGGCGTAGAGCGTAGGGCGCGTTGTACGCCTCATGTGAAACGGCACTAAGAATAGCATTGTAAGTGCTATAGCAAGTCTTGTTTTGTTCACTTCATTCGAGAAATTATTGTCTTGCTTCAATCAAGTAGCGGTCCTTCTTTTAAGCCCAATGTTCGATGAAGACGTGGATAATCTCATAGATGCTCTTGTAAATCCTTCTACCATAGCACAAGATTTACTAAGTTTGCGCGAAGAAAGCAGTTCTAACATTCCAGATATCGATTTTGAGGAAGACATAGTTCGAGGGCAATATACAACTTCTCCATTTTTCTTTGCATTTTTCAGAATTCATGTAAATGTTTTACAAAATATTGAACAAAAGGAAAATATTGAAAAGGAAGAAAAATTGTGCACCAATCCCTACAAATCATCTGAGTTTTTCAATTACCTTCTCAAGCGCGTTATGCCTTTTGCACCATTATGGACTGACATAATGCACTGCGGACGTTATAACAACTCGAATGTGGAAAACATGAAATTTCATTGGAAAAAAACAATCTGAAATTGAAGGAGGATTAAATCAAACCTTAAGACAATAGAACTTTCCATAGGAAAAAAACCACACAAAATTAAAAAGAGAACGATAAATGAAAACGCGATGGAAATCGATAATCTGGCTGCAGTAGAAAAAAGGAAAAAACCCAAAAAAAAAAAATAATATTTTTTTCACAACAGATTATATGCGTATGAATATTCCGGAAAAATTATCAAAACATGCTTCAAATGATTATGCCATCAAAACTAAAACTGAGGACAACAAATCAGCCAAAGATATAATTCGTTTGTTAGATTCAAAAGAATCTATTTCATTCTGCAAATTAAAAAAAAAAACATCAGAATTAAACAGAATTATCGAATTCCACACAGCACAAAGTGCCAGCAAAAAAAAAAGAAAATGAATTATGTACACATAGAGAGCAACCCTCAGATATTGCTCTTTTGAACGGCTTACTATTGAGTAATGAATACTATAACGAAGGGTCGAGTAAAACATCATTTAAATTTGGCACATATTCCTACTTAGGGCAAACAATCACTTTAACCAGTTCTGACTTTAAAGCATTAGCATCGAAATATAACAAAACTCATGTTCAATCAAGGACTGATCGATGGCTTAGGCAGAACACATAGTGGAGCGGCGAGAAGAGCGACGAGGAGAGCAGAGAGGAGAGCGGCGATTGAGGGTCGCGGTGATAAAAGAGATTCCTGCACATAGTGGCGCGCGACTGGCGCGATCAAAACAGAGAGATGGATCTATTGTTAGTAGAAAATTCGTCTCTGAAAATTTGGTATTTTCTGAAAAATAGATTAAATAGAAAGAGAAGTTGTAATGTACATGAAATAAATAAAAGTAGGCATGTACATGGTGAATTTCATCACTTGTATGAACAACTAAGGCAGCATCCCGAGAAGTTTCAGTCTTATTTCCGAATGAGTATTGCAACGTTTGATTTTATTGTGGAGAAAATTGAGCATAAGTTAGTAAAAAATTGGTACCAATTTTAATCGTAATCCTATTAACCCAACGGAACGGGTTGCAGTCACCTTAAGGTAAGTAAACATGCACACTTTTAATTTTATAAACTGCTCCACAGGAGTTAAGGATATGGAGTTTTATTTGTGAAAAAAACAAGATACCTGTTTTTTTATGTAAATATAAACTTTATTAAAATAAATAAACACTTTTTTGTTGAAAACGCAAAAAGGAAGAAAAAGGAAATGGAAAAAAAAGAAAAACTAAAAAAAAAATGGTTATTCTTATTCGGTAATGAAGTGTTATGTAAATTAATAGGTGGTAAAGCCTCCATGTGCATCAATAACAGCCTGACAACGTCTTTGCATGCTATCGATTAGGTTGTTGAGCATTTCCTGTGGAATTTGATTCCAGAGTTGAGGTAAAATGGCCCTTAGCTGCGCCAACGTTTCGACAACCGGTATGTGATCATCCAACCTTCTTTGCAACATGTCCCATGCATGCTCAATGCAGTTGAGGTCTGGAGATAGCGGAGGTAGCATAAGATGCGGAATTCCGTTAGTTTCTATTGCATTTAGTACAGCTCCAGCTCTGTGAGGTCTGGCATTATCGTCCAAAAAATGGAAATCTGGGCCGATAGCAGCATGAAAATTTGGAATTATGTTGTTGATTATATACTGTCTATACTGTGCTGCATTCATGTTTCCCTCGCAAATGTAAAGGTCAGTGCGGCCATTAAAACATATCCCACCCCAAACCATTATTGACCCTCCTCGGTAAGGGTAGACGCGTTGAACAGAGCGTCGATTTCGGGGTGTTCTAGGTAAGGTCCATACTCTAACTCTTCGACTATCTGAGAATCTAGCATACCTGGATTCATCTGTGAAAAGGACAGAGCTCCATTCATTGCCCCAATGGATATGATCTCTTGCCCACTGTAACCTTTGCCGCATGTGAGTTTGAGTGAGGGGCACTCGTCGCAATAGCCGTCTTGATCTTAAATTCACATCATTTAATCTTCTTCTTATTGTTTCAATTGAAACGTGGACTCCTGTGGCATTCGCAAGTCGCTGTGACAGGTATCTACACGTAGATAAAGGCTCCCTCCGTGCGCTTAGCGTTACCAATCGATCTTGTGCGGGTGTTGTTTTCCTCGGACCACCAATCCTATGTCTTTCTGATACAGTTCCAGTTTCATCGAATCGACTATTGAGTCTACTTATGACACTTTGCGACACATTAAACTCATTCGCCACTTCTCGTTGTAGACGGCCACTCTGTAGCATACCAATTGCACGATTAGCCTCGTCCCTTGTTAATTTACGCCTAACCATTATTTCGAGTTGCAAGTAGGAATAAACCCATAGGAAGACTAAATTTTGTGGAATACTGATAAGACAAATATAGTAAAAGAACGAAAAACGTACATTGTTTACAAAGATATCAACTCTTTTTATTCAAGATTTCAAAAAAAAGTGTTTATTTATTTTAATAACTTTTATATTTACATAAAAAACAGTTTTCGTTTATTTTTTAACAAAGAAACCTCCATATCCTTAACTCCTGTGGAGCAGTTTATTTTATTCAGAACGAAAACCCAAAACTTAAAATTAAAACACATACAATTCTTATGTACTTATACCTATCTGTAAATATTAAAAATCATTAACAGATTCTTCGGAAAAACTCGTCAAATAAGATCCAACTGATGTAGGATTCGAGTAGGTATTTACAGGCTGCAAATCAATTATTTGACGTGGATTTATTTCATGTAAATGCATAATTTGAGTTCGATGATTACTTTGGCTTTCAGTAACTTGATTGGGCGGCTGATCATTGTAAACAAAGTTATAAACAAGTTCTTGCATCTTCATCCTTAATAACATTTTTCTTTGTGGGGTGAGCGAGCGTATATGCGGTAGAAGGCTGTCAAAAAAGCAATCGTCTTCATCAAGTGTTTGACTTTTCTTTTCTTTTTCTAGAATCCTGATTTTTTGTTCTTTTAATCTTATAAGTGCGGCACCAACATCTGTGTCATTTTGGTTCTTTCGTTTTAATTTGTTAATTGTAGGTGTAGTAGTTGAAGTCAGTTCACTGGTTTTGTTCTGTGACGAAACGTTCATCAATGGTGGTTCATCGGCATAAGTAGAATCATCTAAGTTTTGATTATTTGGTTCTAATCGGGATTCTGATAACTGGCTGTTTGTATCTTCATCCAGAATATTGATGTCTTGCTCAGTTTCGGGCAAATTTCCGGTGCTTACTCGGGCAGTAAATTGGTCTTTTAAAAAATAAAGACTATCAAAATATTGCCAAGATGATGTCCAAGAGGATGCCCCATCCCCCGATCGTTGTACTGGTTTTTTTTTTAAGTTCTTTGCGAAATGTGTCTCGTAAGTTTTTCCATTTTGTCCTCACGATACTCCCTGAAATGAAAAAAAATCATCAGAATTTAAGCTTTAACAAGTTTTTTTTTTTTTTAGGTTTTTGGCAACGGGATCATCTTTTAAGACTCTTGGTTTTACTTTTCGAATGGGTGCTACGACTGTGTCATCAATTGTGCGAGAAACAGTAAAAGCTATGTGGGACATATTGCAACCTCTGCATATGAAAGTTCCTACCGAAAATGACTTCAAGAACACTGCAAAAGAATTCTACGAAAAATGGAATTTTCCCAATTGTCTGGGGGCAATTGACGGGAAACATATTCGTGTAAAGTGTCCCCCTCACTCTGGAACTATGTACTATAATTACAAACACTTCTTTTCTATAGTGCTCCAAGCTGTTGCTGATGCAAATTATAGATTTATAACAATAGATGTTGGAGGATATGGCAAGCAGAGTGACGGGGGTACAATCCGATCTTCATCTCTATTTCATCTAATTGAGAGTAAACGTCTCAATATTCCTGACTTACCTGACATTACCACTGACTGTGATCACTGTGCCCTATGTTTTTATCGGAGATGAAGCGTATCCTTTATTAAATAATCTAATGAAACCTTTTAATAGAAGAAATTTAGATGCAGAAAAAGAATATTACAATATGCGCCTTTCACGTGCAAGACGTGTAGTAGAGTGTACTTTTGGAATCATCAGTGCCAAGTTTCGTATTCTTTTGAAGCCCATAGAAACCTCTTCAGACTTAGCAGATGATATTATTAAGTGTATCTGTATTCTACACAATACAATAATTGACATGGAAGGCATTTCAATTCAAGACGAACAATTTTTGTCCCAACCCGAGTCTCAATGTGATAGATCAGCCGTTGTACGAGCAAATAACAGGCCAACAGCAGCTGCCACTTTTATTAGAGAGACATATAAAAATTACGTATGTAGATATAAAACATAAAATTTAAAAATATACTCACTTGTTGAATTCATTTCTTTGGCCACAGCATCCCACAGTTTATCCAAAACAAAGCGGTTATGGTGCTGAGAGTCTTTCTGATCCCATAGGGGATTTTTAACAAATACACTACTAATAAATGCATCCACATCCATTTTAAACACAACTATTTCTACAACGAGGAGAGCAGAGAAAACAAATCTGCTTGATCTCGCCGCTATCCTCTCAATAGCAACGCGGTTACCTCGCTTCAGCTCGCCTCACTATGGTTAACTTGATTCGAACTACCGTTTTTGTTTTCGCCGCTCTCCTCTCTGCTCTCCTCGTCGCTCTTCTCGCCGCTCCACTATGTGTTCAGCCTTACACATTATGCAATCGACTGTATATCTTTCAGTATTCTCGCCGACTTCAATAACATTTACTATATCGATACTATTTTTTAATCGCTAATTCTTAATGATTATATGAAATACACAAATTATCCCAAATTTTTGCCATTGGTGAAGCCCTTGGATGGTATCTATATTATTTTACTGCCGTATAATGTATTTGAATTCGACTGGATTCTGGATTTTGATAGTGCTTTACTTGAAAGAAAACAAAATATATGTTTCAAAGCTAGGAGAAATGATGCCTTCCGAAGAAGAAATAATCAAAGAAATTAAAGGTTTTTTTATGACCAGGGATCGACAAAATAAGTATAAAAAATTAAATGCCAGAAAATGGAAGCTAGACCACATTCCATCTTACCCAAAACAAACCGTCAGTTACAACTGTAGTGTGTTTGTCATTAACTTTATAATGACGTTGTTGATTCACCAAAACATATACGATTGTTTTTTCAATAAGCAAAAACAACCAGGAGCTATTTGATCCAGAAGCATTTTGATCACATTTCGAAGCGTTCTTTTGATTTCATCGAAAAATATGTTTCACGTTTGCCTAGTCCTCGGCCTGAATACATCGTGAACGTACGATTTGCAAACGTTGGATTCATTTTACTAAATACTCTGGGCTCCAAGAATGCTACGTCTATGAAAATGATAGCGGCAGGAAATTATACGTACATCTGCCAACTGTGCCAACAATTGGAAGATCCGTTTAAATATGTCAAAGCAGACCATGTAATAAAATTAAACATTACGGTATTGGAGTTTTTGGTAAAGCATTATAGGGACTTATTAGTAAATATATATGAAAATCGAAACCTTAACCATGAAAGCTCTAGACAATACTATACAGATACAAGGAGGCATTAAAAAATTTAAAATGGGACTATTTTGTCACATTTATTGACATTGAAACGCAATTAAAGTCGCACGAATGATAATAAGGTATACATCAATATCAGATGAAATGTTTGTTTCTATAAAATAACCTTTTTTCTAATTTTGACATTTCAAGTGACACTTTTCAGAACTCGTTGACGTTATCAAATGCCTCACTTTTCATCACCAGTTACGAAAAGTGAAACTTTTCGCAACTGGTGTTGAAATAGCTATTCATGTAATAAGTTGTAAAATGAGCGTGTTTCTTGCACTTAATGTGAAAATTGGACCACGAGCTAAGGGGGTGTTCCAACGCATTGTGTGCAAGAAACTAGCTATTTTGCGACGTGTTTCATACAAGATTTTTTTTCTAATTTTGACATTTAAAGTGACACTTTTCAAAACTCGTTGACGTTATCAGTAGTGTATGATGGCCGGTTCTGCGCCCTCCGACGCCTCCGTGACGTCTGCGCATGCGCCAACCAGGACGTCATCAGTCAGCTGTCATCTGTCAATGTCATTCAGCTGTCAATGCCACCTGTCAATGTCAGTCACCTGTCAATGTCACCTGTCAATGTCAGTCACCTGTCAATGTCAGTGGTCTGTCAATGTCATCTAACCCAATCTACCTGAACTACTCCAACTTACCGCTCTCTGATGCGCCATCTATAAACCCCGTATAACATTACACCTGTGTGTTTTTTTTATATTTCTACATGTATTTAAACAGATGAAAAAATACGTGAAATTAAACATGCATTAATACATGAAGAAATATAAAGAAAATAGACAGATGGGCTTAAGAAAAAAAAAAAAACTAACCTCAAACAATTTTTTATTCAAAAACATACATTTTT